TTGAAATTTTGCATGAATGTTCTAATGCCTAAAAAAAATACAAATAAAACATCTTAAAATTTTTTTGAGCAAAGAACCAAGTAGGAAATACATTTTCAATTTACGACTATGGGCGACCCTAGTCAAAATCAACTTTCTCACTTTTCTCTTCGAGGGTTTATTCAAATGGATTGAAACTTTGCGTAAATATTCTACAGCTTAAAACAAATACAAACAAAACATCTTAAATTTTTTTGAGCAAAGAACCAAGTAGGAAATACATTTTCAATTTACGACTAGGGGCGACCCTAGTCAAAATCAATTTTGTCACTTTTTTCTTCGATAAATATTCTAATGCTTAAAACAAATACAAATAAATCATTCTAAAAATTTTTGAGCAAAGAACCAAGTAGGAAATACATTTTCAATTTTGGACTAGGGGCGACCCTTGTCAAAATCAATTTTCTCACTTTTCTCTTCGAGGGTTTATACAAATGGATTAAAATTTTGCATGAATGTTCTAATGCTTAAAAAAAATACAAATAAAACATCTTAAAATTTTTTTGAGCAAAGAACCAAGTAGGAAATACATTTTCAATTTACGACTAGGGGCGACCCTAGTCAAAATCAACTTTCTCACTTTTCTCTTCGAGGGTTTATTCAAATGGATTTAAACTTTGCATAAATATTCTAGTGCTTAAAACAAATACAAATAAAACATCTTAAAATTTTTTGAGCAAAGAACCAACTAGGAATTACAATTTTCAATTTTGGACTAGGGGCGACCCTAGTTAAAATCAATTTTCTCACTTTTTTTTTCGAGGGTTTATCCAAATGGATTGAAACTTTGCATAAATATTCAAGTGCTTAAAACAAATACAAATAAAACATCTTAAAATTTTTTTGAGCAAAGAACCAAGTAGGAAATACATTTTCAATTTTGGACTAGGGGCGACCCTAGTCAAAATCAACTTTCTCACTTTTCTCTTCGAGGGTTTATTCAAATGGATTGAAACTTTGCATAAATATTCTAGTGCTTAAAACAAATACAAATAAAACATCTTAAATTTTTTTTGAGCAAAGAACCAAGAAGGAAATACATTTTCAATTTTGAACTAGGGGCGACCCTAGTCAAAATCAATTTTGTCACTTTTTTCTTCGATAAATATTCTAATGCTTGAAACAAATACAAATAAAACATCTTAAAATTTTTTGAGCAAAGAACCAAGTAGGAAATACATTTTCAATTTTGGACTAGGGGCGACCCTAGTCAAAATCAACTTTCTCACTTTTCTCTTCGAGGGTTTATTCAAATGGATTGAAACTTTGCATAAATATTCTAGTGCTTAAAACAAATACAAATAAAACATCTTAAATTTTTTTTGAGCAAAGAACCAAGAAGGAAATACATTTTCAATTTTGAACTAGGGGCGACCCTAGTCAAAATCAATTTTGTCACTTTTTTCTTCGATAAATATTCTAATGCTTGAAACAAATACAAATAAAACATCTTAAAATTTTTTGAGCAAAGAACCAAGTAGGAAATACATTTTCAATTTTGGACTAGGGGCGACCCTAGTCAAAATCAACTTTCTCACTTTTCTCTTCGAGGGTTTATTCAAATGGATTGAAACTTTGCATAAATATTCTAGTGCTTAAAACAAATACAAATAAAACATCTTAAATTTTTTTTGAGCAAAGAACCAAGAAGGAAATACATTTTCAATTTTGAACTAGGGGCGACCCTAGTCAAAATCAATTTTCTCACTTATTTCTTCGAGGGTTTATCCAAATGGATTGAAACTTTGCATAAACATTCAAGTGCTTTAAACAAATACAAATAAAACATTCTAAAGTTTTTTTGAGCAAAGAACCAAATAGGAAATACAATTTTCAATTTTGGACTAGGGGCGACCCTTGTCAAAATCAATTTTCTCACTTTTCTCTTCGAGGGTTTATACAAATGGATTAAAATTTTGCATGAATGTTCTAATGCTTAAAACAAATACAAATAAAACATCTTAAAATTTTTTGAGCAAAAAACCAACTAGGAATTACAATTTTCAATTTTGGACTAGGGGCGACCCTAGTTAAAATCAATTTTCTCACTTTTTTTTTCGAGGGTTTATCCAAATGGATTGAAACTTTGCATAAATATTCTAGTGCTTAAAACAAATACAAATAAAACATCTTAAAATTTTTTGAGCATAGAACCAACTAGGAAATACATTTTCAATTTTGGAATAGGGGCGACCCTAGTCAAAATCAATTTTCTCACTTTTCTCTTCGAGGGTTTATACAAATGGATTGAAATTTTGCATGAATGTTCAAATGCCTAAAACAAATACAAATACAACATCTTAAAATTTTTTTGAGCAAAGAACCAAGTAGGAAATACATTTTCAATTTTGGACTAGGGGCGACCCTAGTCAAAATCAATTTTCTCACTTTTCTCTTCGAGGGTTTATACAAATGGATTGAAATTTTGCATGAATGTTCAAATGCCTAAAACAAATACAAATACAACATCTTAAAATTTTTTTGAGCAAAGAACCAAGTAGGAAATACATTTTCAATTTACGACAAGGGGCGACCCTAGTCAAAATCAATTTTGTCACTTTTTTCTTCGATATATATTCTAATGCTTAAAACAAATACAAATAAATCATTCTAAAAATTTTTGAGCAAAGAACCAAGCAGGAAATACATTTTCAATTTTGGAGTAGGGGCGACCCTTGTCAAAATCAACTTTCTCGCTTTTCTCTTCGAGGGTTTATTCAAATGGATTGAAACTTTGCATAAATATTCTAGTGCTTAAAACAAATACAAATAAAACATCTTAAAATTTTTTTAGCAAAGAACCAACAAGGAAATACATTTTCAATTTTGGACTAGGGGCGACCCTTGTCAAAATCAATTTTGTCGCTTTTCTCTTCGAGGGTTTATACAAATGGATTGAAATTTTGCATAAATATTCCAGTGCTTAAAACAAATACAAATAAAACATCCTGAAATTTTTTTAAGCAAAGAACCAAGTAGGAAATACATTTTCAATTTTGGACTAGGGGCGACCCTAGTTAAAATCAATTTCTCACTTTTTTCTTCGAGAGTTTATACAAATGGATTGAAACTTTGCATAAATATTCTATTGCTTAAAAATAATACATATAAAACATCCTAAAATTTTTTTGAGCAAAGAACCAAGAAGGAAATACATTTTCAATTTTAGACAAGGGGCGACCCTAGTTAAAATCAATTTTCTCCCTTTTTTCTTCGAGAGTTTATACAAATGGATTGAAACTTTGCATAAATATTCAAGTGCTTTTAATAAATACAAATAAAACATTCTAAAGTTTTTTGAGCAAAGAACCAAGTAGGAAATACATTTTCAATTTTGGACTAGGGGCGACCCTTGTCAAAATCAATTTTCTCACTTTTCTCTTCGAGGGTTTATACAAATGGATTGAAATTTTGCGTAAATGTTTTAATGCTTAAAACAAATACAAATAAAACATCCTAAAATTTTTTTGAGCAAAGAACCAAGAAGGAAATACATTTTCAATTTTAGACAAGGGGCGACCCTAGTCAAAATCAATTTTGTCACTTTATTCTTCGAAGATTTATCCAAATGGATTGAAACTTTGCACAAATATTCTAATGCTTAAAACAAATACAAATAAAACATCCAAATATTTATTTGAGCAAAGAATCAAAAAGGAAATACATTTTCAATTTTGGACTAGGGGCGACCCTAGTCGAAATTGATTGAAATTTCGAATAAATATTCTAGTGCTTAAAACAAATACAAATAAAACATTCTAAAATTTTTTTGAGCAAAGAACCAAGAAGGAAATACATTTTCAATTTTGGACTAGGGGCGACCATAGTCAAAATCAATTTTGTCACTATTTTCATCGAGAATTTATCCAAATGGATTGAAACTTTGCATAAATATTCAAAATTGATTTTGACTAGGGTCGCCCCTAGTCCAAAATTGAAAATGTATTTCCTTCTTGGTTCTTTGCTCAAAAAAACTTTAAAATGTTTTATTTGTATTTGTTTTAAGCACTGAAATATTTATGCAAAGTTTCAATCCATTTGCATAAACTCTCGAAGAAATAAGTGAGAAAATTAATTTTGACTAGGGTCGCCTTTAGTCCAAAATTGAAAATTGATACTTTTTTGGATGTTTTATTTGAATTGACATAATTCTAGCATAAATCTCATACCAATATTACTTTTTGTAATGCATAGCTTAAAAAAAATCGAAATCTAAAATTTCGACTACTCCATCTGAGATTTGTTCATACTCTTCACTGTGGAAACCAAAAAACAAATTCTTTATCTTAAATTACTTGACAAACTAGCGACATAATTCAGGATTAATTACTTTTTAATAATATTTTAACATTTACGAAAAAATGAAGTTCAAATAAGTGTGAAGTATGGCCGAGATTTGTTCCAAAATCAGCTATACTGGTTCATAGTGTTCCCGAGGGTGACAGAATTCAAACTAAGTGTTTTTGTAGCTGACATAATTATGACATAAATTAGGTATAACTTTTGAACTGTGTCGATATGGGTCTCGGCCGTACTTCACGCCCACCCTTCAAACTTATGCTGAGCAAATCTTGGTCTATCCATAAGACTTTTGATGGAACGGTGTGAATATATCCGCATTGGGTTTCTACGCGATACACTAGTTATTTTCGATTCAAAAGATATTGGTTTGAAAGAGTTATGGCCGTATATAAATTGAAAATTTGTTCACTTCGACTATAAAGTATAGTTGAGATCTTAAAAAAATTGAGTGCTTTTATAAATATTGCATATTTTAAGAGCTTAAATTTGTTCAAAGTTTTTATTAATAAATTTTATTTTATAAATTTTTTAAAGTTTGATTTGTAAAACCATAATAATTTCGATTAATTTCACTTGATTTGAAATTCAATATGCACTCAGCAATTTGAATTTAATATCAAGATATTCTTTGAAGTCGACAAACTTAGAAAATATTAAAAATGTCATTTTTATTATTTTTGATTTTTGTTTTAATTGCTATTTCTTTATGTCAAAGTGAACTTAATACTAGAAAAGGAAAACATAATTTTGATTTTAATGATACATACTGTCCTCAATGTAGAACCCGTGTGAATAAAGATAAAACTAAGACATTTTTGGATATCAGAAAAAAGTTTACAGAATACTTTAGTGGTGATGAAGACTGTGGAAAAACTGAAGAAAGAGAACTAAAATTTGAAATATGTCCAGACTATGACTATTCTGATTACATCTTTAATGCAACGTGGAGCTCTTCTTGTATGTGTGCCGAACGTGATCAACGGATGATAATCACATTAGATGATCAAAGTAACCTTTTTTGTTGTGCTCCTAATTGCCCAAAAATTGAATCTCGAGGATTTTTCATACCAATTTTACAAGGATTCATTGTTTGGGGAATTTCATTTATTCTGGAAAGATTTGTATTCGATATTAAGCAAGATACATGTTGCTATGAAACTTCAACATCAGCTGTGACTACTTTGAAGACTACGAAATCAACTATTGAATCTACAACTTTACCTTCGATTGATCCATGCGAAGAATTTTAAGCAAACTTTTTAAACTTAGTCTTTGCAAATTAATAAATAAAAATACTTTTTGCGAATAATCAGAAAAATATGAAACTCAATAAAGAATTTTAAAGAATTTCATTCTTGATCCTTTCTTTCAATTAAGCTGCATACACATCTTCCGTTGTTGTTTTCAGTGTGGAACATGAAAAGTGTTCAATTGGCTGATTGATGACTGACTGCTGGATTAAATTTATGGTTACACAATTTGTTTAGGGTTCGTTCACTTATTACGTAACGCACTAGGGGGGGAGGGGGGGTCTAAGATTTTGTTACGGTTTGTTACAGGGGGAGGGGGGGTCTAAAAACTCGTTTTTTTTGCGTTACGTAATAAGTGAACGAGCCCTTACTGAAATAACACAAAAACTTTGATTTTTCTTCAGTTTATTTTTCAATTGTTCTTGAATTATTTATTACATCTTCGACATTAAGCATAAAATATTTTAAACATTTTTATTCTTCTTGATTGTTAATTCCTAAATAGTGATCGGTAAAATTTTAACTTTGAGATTCTGAGACATTTTTATTCTATTTTACTATCTTTTTGTTTTTGATCTGATTAATTGAAAAATGTTAATTCATTGGCTTTATGATAAGAACATCTATGGCGAGTGTGAATGATAAACATTTACTCATATTGTAAAACATAATAAAAAACATTTAAGGAATATAGTTTAAGACATCTTTTTCTGTTATATTATTCATTTATTAATTTTAAAAGTGGAAGTGAGTTAAGATTGTTGGATAATTTATTGTTTTTTGATGTGAATTAAGGTATTTTAATGATATTTCTATTGAGAATCTGATGAAATATCTACCGGCTAGTTACGTGTGACCAAGTACTTAGCCTAGTTACTAGTATTGTTTAATCAACAGAACTAAAGCACTATGGGCCAGAAATCGAAAACTTTTCCGAAAATTATTTTTTTAGTCTAAATGATAGCTCTTTCATTCCCATTTATGAAAATACTTACAAAAGTGGCCAATTCAGCCTAAGTTCCGAGTTATGGCTTTTCAAATTTTTGATTAAGAGCATTTTCTCGCCCCACAAAAATTGTCACTACTTTTCATTAGATTGATGAAACTCTTTCAATTTTTTTTTATTTGGTAGCTTAAAATAAGAGCTTTATTTTAGGATAGTAAACATTTAATTATGCATCTTTTAACTTTATGAATTTTAAGGTTTTTTCAAAAAAGCACGTGTTCAGTATGATTATGTTCGTCTAGGACTTCACTCTTAAAATAAATGATGCTGAATCTTTTTTTATATTGTAGATATAAACAAGATCTACAACTTTTATTAAAATACTATAAAGTTTTAGTAGAGTTTTGCTGATGAAATTAAGTCTTTTCTTCAAAAAAACTGCAATTTTTTGACATAAATTCCCATAACTTTTCAGGATAGCCCAAAGGAGTGGATTTTTTTTACATGCTTTGAAAGCTCTTTGGATATACTATCAGAATATTTAATCAGCTTGAGTTCGGTTACTGAGACAATCTCGAGCAATTTGACTTTGAAGTGTGACCAGAAATACATTTCAAAACATAAAAATTGAAAATAAATTTTGTACGTTTTTCAAAATTTTAGTTTTTTGCTTTAGATCAATAGATCTCATCAAGGCGCATATTTTGAGTATAAATATGTCATAGTTTGAACAATTTTTATACTCAAATTTCAACAAAATCATTTTTATATATTTTTTCAACAAATTTTACTTATTTTTCAATTATTTTAAATCAAAACATATTTTAAATCTTCTGATTTTGATATTTTTTGAAATTTCTATGTTTTTATGTTAAATTGTCACTCCTAGAGCAACAATTCATAAATTTTTTTTACTTTAAGGTAATTTTTTTATAATTTTTTGCAAATTACACTCATTTTTCTTATCTTTTTTTATCAAATTTTATTTTATGATAATTCTAAATATTGAAATTTAATGTAATATGCATAAAAATTCTCTTAAATATTTAAAGATCATATTTTATACAATTAACGTATGAATAAAGCTGGAATGAGCAAAGCTTTGATATGTTCCTTTAATCTGAAGGTAATTTTCCTTTCGATTCAGAACATATAAGCATCCAATCATTTATTTTTAATAAATTTCGGTAAACATACTTATTTCCATGCAATTGTAAAGCATAAACTATCACCACGAACTATTAAAATTAAAGACCTATAATGAAAATAGTTTTTAAAAAGGAAAACGCTATCAACCATTTTCCAATCTATCAAATTTATTGCGACAATTTTTATCCAATGTTGAATGGTTCCTTATAGTTTTTTACCATATTTCATTGATTTTTCAAATTTTTGTCTTTGTATATACTTTTTTTACTGATCTGTGGGCGCAACGTGATACATTTCAGATCCGTTCTGACAATTTATCATTATAAGGTAATCTTGTAGCTCTCGTTCCTATTTCTCCCGCTACACTTCAAGTTCCTCATCCGTTCCTTAATCCAAATATCGCATGGCTTGATCTCGTACATTAAGCAGTCGAAGTATCTAAACTTCTGAAAAAGAACAAATTTGGAAATGGCTGGATTGGAACCGACGACCTTCGAGTTACCATACCAAATTTGAGCCAATCGCCTTACTTATTTGACCAGCGAGGCACTTAAACCCTTATACATAGACAAAAATAGATTCAAGAACCATCATTTAGTTTTGATAAATTTCGAAACGATGCAAACTTTTCAAACTTTTGTATATATACTTTATATATTTCATACTGGTAAATTCCAGTCACCATTAGTGAGTCCAGTCAGATTATAAATATTGAGCTTTCAACTTCCGAACCTGAAAGGCAGTTTATGCTTTACAATTGCATGGAAATAAGTATGTTTACCGAAATTTATTAAAAATAAATGATTGGATGCTTATATGTTCTGAATCGAAAGGAAAATTACCTTCAGATTAAAGGAACATATCAAAGCTTTGCTCATTCCAGCTTTATTCCTACGTTAATTGGATAAAATATGATCTTTAAATATTTAAGAGAATTTTTATGCATATTACATTAAATTTCAATATTTAGAATTATCATAAAATAAAATTTGATAAAAAAAGATAAGAAAAATGAGTGTAATTTGCAAAAAATTATAAAAAAATTACCTTAAAGTAAAAAAAATTTATGAATTGTTGCTCTAGGAGTGACAATTTAACATAAAAACATAGAAATTTCAAAAAATATCAAAATCAGAAGATTTAAAATATGTTTTGATTTAAAATAATTGAAAAATAAGTAAAATTTGTTGAAAAAATATATAAAAATGATTTTGTTGAAATTTGAGTATAAAAATTGTTCAAACTATGACATATTTATACTCAAAATATGCGCCTTGATGAGATCTATTGATCTAAAGCAAAAAACTAAAATTTTGAAAAACGTACAAAATTTATTTTCAATTTTTATGTTTTGAAATGTATTTCTGGTCACACTTCAAAGTCAAATTGCTCGAGATTGTCTCAGTAACCGAACTCAAGCTGATTAAATATTCTGATAGTATATTCAAAGAGCTTTCAAAGCATGTAAAAAAAATCCACTCCTTTGGGCTATCCTGAAAAGTTATGGGAATTTATGTCAAAAAATTGCAGTTTTTTTGAAGAAAAGACTTAATTTCATCAGCAAAACTCTACTAAAACTTTATAGTATTTTAATAAAAGTTGTAGATCTTGTTTATATCTACAATATAAAAAAAGATTCAGCATCATTTATTTTAAGAGTGAAGTCCTAGACGAACATAATCATACTGAACACGTGCTTTTTTGAAAAAACCTTAAAATTCATAAAGTTAAAAGATGCATAATTAAATGTTTACTATCCTAAAATAAAGCTCTTATTTTAAGCTACCAAATAAAAAAAAATTGAAAGAGTTTCATCAATCTAATGAAAAGTAGTGACAATTTTTGTGGGGCGAGAAAATGCTCTTAATCAAAAATTTGAAAAGCCATAACTCGGAACTTAGGCTGAATTGGCCATTTTTGTAAGTATTTTCATAAATGGGAATGAAAGAGCTATCATTTAGACTAAAAAAATAATTTTCGGAAAAGTTTTCGATTTCTGGCCCATAGTGTAAAGTCGACAAATGATAAGTTCTACAGAACATTCCGAAGAAAATGACATTTGTCGACCTTAATTCTAGTTATTAGCAACTTGATGTTTGATATCTAGTAAGGATCAAAATGACTTCATTCAAAAATAATTACGATTTATTACCAACTCTTAAAACTCACTTCCGCATCCAAAGTCATTTCTTTAGTGTGCTGATAACCAAGTTAAAAAATATACAATCCATTTTCATTCATTATTCAAATAGTTTTTTTATGAAACCGCGGCCACTTAAAAGGCACAACAATCGTCTTTAAAAAATAAACTCATTCTACACTATTCACATAAGTATTCTTAATAAATTTTCTTTCTTCATTTATTTTTAAATTGTAAGTGGACTCATTTTCTACAAAAAAAAATGTTTTATACGCGTATAATTATAATTAATTTATTAATTATTTAATTTAAGCCTTAACATTCTTCTTTATATCTTATTTCTCTTGTAGAACACAAACAGCCTAGATGCAGAGATTGAAGGAGATTCTGACTAATAAATATTCAGATCTTTAGGACATAATGTCCTTCAATATCTACTTAAATGATTGATTTCACTAAAATCATGATCTATAGAACCGATAATACTTTAAAGATTCACAGAAGACTAGCTTGACTAGCTTCTACTTATAATCTCTTAAATTAATTAAATTACTCTAAGAATTATCCCAAACATAAAGATCATTTCCTTTAGTGAAATCGACCCTAAAATTTTCCATGAACAGATTTACTTAAATTACAGGGAAAATTTGAAGCTGCGATTTTATCTAAACGGAATTATGTTGAAATGTTAATTAAAATATGAATATGAAGTATTTTTATATGATGAATTTAATATAGTTTTTTACAACGTAAATTAAGCAAATTAAATGGGAGAAAAAATACTTTTTTTTCAATTTATAGCTTTTTGGTTTCTTCATTTATTAAAATTTTTTAATTTTTTTTATTTTCTTAGATAAGTTTTATACGGTGAGATTGAAAAAGTTAAGTTTGAAAATTGATAGAATAAATATTGTGATTTTTATGAATTCTAGTAAATCTTTTTAAGTCATTAGGCAACTCAACTTGGAAACTAGAGTGACTTATGCCTTTAATAACTATCTGATATTCAAATACTGAGATAATTTAACTCTTTAAAGGCACTAATCTCCAATTTAATAACTTATTTTCTTTATTTTTTTTTTCAGTTCTTAAATGCCGTGATTTAAATCATATTTTCATGCTGACTAAAATTGATGTCTGCGTTCAAATTAGATTTCATAACAATCACAATCTTCCATCATTTAGTAAGGCGAAATATTTATTTAATTCAATGGTGATCTAAGACATTCAAAATGATTTAGTTTCAATTCTAATTAATTTTATTTTTTTTTTCTCAACAAACTTTATTTTAAATACAGGATGAGAAGATTGAAAAATCTTGAATAATCTAGTTCTAAAATTGAAATTCTGGTACTACAAAACTAGTTTGATCTTATATATTGATCTTATATTCTAGTATTTTTTCAATTTAGCCGTTTTTGTTTAATTCTAGAATTTTTATCATCTTAATCTAGTATTTTTTCATATATTCTAGTACTTGTTACTCAAATCTAGTGCAGAAAGATAGCAACAAGATAAAAATACTAGATTCTTAGCTTAAGTAAAGCAGACGCAGTACTAGAATAAAATATTCATGACTATTAAGAAGAATTTTTCTAGATTCTCTAATTTGACATAATTAATGCTGGGGGTCCTCGGTTTGAACAGGATTTTTCTGGAACAAAACACCTACTCAAATTGAGGATCCTTAGTACTAGATTCCACTTCCATTGTTGATACGTTGTTGAATTTTTTGATGATATATTTAATTTCAGTACTAGATTTTTCAAAACTTTTTCGAATTCTCATCTAGAAATATTTTTCAATTTCTCCACATTTTTTTTTTATTCTTTCAATTCATTTCCATTCCATACCTTTTCATAAAGCTTTTAGGTATCTCTCAATTAATTGAAAAGGATGAAAGAAAGATTTAATTAAATATTAAAAGATTTTTTTTCTCCTCAATTTGTTTCTTTATAATTCTATCCACTAAACTCCACATGTTTTGCATCCTTAATGAATAAAATCCTAAACAAAATAGCGTGTAATTAAAATAGCTACTAGACTACCACAAATGGATGAAACAATTGATGACGCCGAACTTGTCATTTCAGCTGACTCAGTTGTATCTAAAACAAAGAAGAAAAAGAAAATAAATTTTAATTAAAATGTGAATTTTTTGGTAATTAATAAAATTTGTTTTTATTTTGTATATTATGAGAGCTACAGCATGATGTGTAGATGGGTCGATTAATTAGAAAAGAATTTTTTTTAAGAGATATGATTTGTTCCTCAAATTTTGTTTTTGAATTTGTTTGTTGATTGCTGTCTTTGAGTGGTTTTTTGCTTACATTCATGATGGAAGTTAATGGAAAAATTGAAATGTTCCATTTATGGAAATTAAATGGATGTGAGCGCGGTTTTCTCGATGGGAATGTTGGCATGTTCTTTAGTTTTGAATTGAGGTTCAAAAATTTAATAATAATAATTCCAAATGATCACTGAATGGACAGTCTGTCAAATACTAAGCACCAACATCACCCCATCAAAAAAACGCGACTTAAAACAATAAACTTAAAAAATAGATAGGAGAAATTAAAATTAATGACAGTAATTAGTATAGAATTGAAATTCAGTCATCAGCAGTAGTTTAAAATATTTAATTAGACAAAGCTTTCAATTTAGATAAGAATTTATGTCATTCACAAATTTAGAGTCCTCAAAACGAGTTCAGATCCGCAATTGCATGTCCAAAAGAGAAACAATAGAGTTTTATGCATTCACAAGCGTTGATATGGATGACAAGCTAGAGCAGATGAGTGATGATCATTAACTCAATAATTAAGTTTGATTAGAAAACTTTTTATTAGCGGAAAAATTCCTTGTGGCAATTCTGACAGAAAAATGCAAAATTTGGTTTTTAAATCTCAAAGTTTTGGATCCAGGAACTACAATTTGAAATAATTAAAGATTTAAGGCAAGTTTCTATGACTACCCGGGGCACTCTAGGTTAGAATCGAAAATCACTATACCTTACTTGAATAGCACAAGTCGATTTGGTCGAAAAAAAATCCGGTGCCAAGCTGGGATGACCTTGGCATGGTGCTGACTTCGATTAAAATCCAGCACCATGCCAGAGTCACTCCAGCTTCATGCCGGATTTCTTATCGATAAACCGACTTGTGCCATTCGTGTTATAATTCAAATTAATCTGTGACTAAAGTAGTGTACCTCGGATATCCCATAGAAACCAACCCCTGACAGATTTAACCACAAGAATAGAAAAAAATTAGAAAAAATAGAAAAGAAGATAGTTCAAAAAAATCGCAAAAAAGAAAATTCAAGACACTATTACAACATCACCACCAATCAAATTTACCTAGTGTTGTACTTATTTGAGGCGGATCGATAAAAGCTACGAATGTAAAAATTGTGTTCAGATAAAAGAAATTTGACAAAATTTGGGACACAATAAAATTTTAAAAAAATAATTTTTACACCTGGCAAATTTTTTTATAAAAAATAAAATTGGGACAGGAAAAAAGTTCAAACCAAAAAACACAAAATTGATTTATTATTTTCCAAAGGACTTTCAGTCGAGGGAAAAACCAAAAAAGGCACAAAAAATATTTGATAAATCGTCATCTCGGGATTAATATTTGGAATTTTTAAAGAGTTACTGAAAAAATAATAAATTAAGCTCACCTTTGGGAATTTTAATGGTCGTTTGCTGTGCATATGCATCGTCTGACCATCCATAACTGTTCTTTGCACGACCCATGATTGTCCACTCACCAGCTTCAAGTGATAATGACCCTTGTACTCTACAATGTGGAATAGAAATAATTGCAGACGAATTAATAATCTTTCTAGTCATGCTATTGAGTATTGAGGACAGAGAGTTAATGACGAAGCAACTGTGACTGCATAAAAGCATTAAGTCCAATTAATGAAGGGGTTGACATTTCTATTAATTAAATTGAATTTTTATTAGAGTCAATGGATGAAGGTTTGTTTGCTTTTTTTGGGTGTAGACTAAACTCAGCAATGTCCACAATTTCAAGTGTAAACAGTTTAGTCATACTGTATCTAAAAATATTTACAGTATTTAAAATTTACATCATAATTTTCATTAATTTACAACATATAACTTTAAGCACAGTCTCAGGTTACAACAAAAATCGATTCATAAGACATAATATGAAGTCAACAGCCGTAACAAACATTTGTTTTTCCATTCATTAATGATCAATCAATTATTGATAATAGAGACGAAATTTCCCGCGGGACAATTGAAGAAATTTCACAATGGAAAAATCTAGTCAGTCGACCGTGAAACTTCATTAATGAATGCAATTAAAGGCAAACACTGATCAAATGATTCGGTTATTTAAATTTTAATTGAATTGGACGCATGTCATGTCAATGATGTTTATGGTCATAATTAAAAAATTCATTCTTAATATACTCACTTAAATTCACCGGCTCTCAATGGATTTTGGTTTGTAATTTTGGCTTCAGCCTGACTCCAACCATTCTGTTGAAAAGTAAACAATAAAGTTAACAATTAAGCCATTAAACAACTGACAACTGCAGATCAGGTCGACTTACCTCATTGTTACGGTATAAAATAATCATGCTCTGAAGCTCTTGATGACTCTTTACAATCCAATCAGTATATAAATAGTTATTAATGTATTTAAAGGCCTCGAATTTGGGTGGTGCTGGGACTAAATCTAATGTGATATTTTCTTTCTTCGTACCCAATGAATTCTGAATGGACATAAAAGAATGAATAACATTATATCATGGACATTAATATAAATTTCATGACATCATACCTGAACTTCACAATAGTATACTCCTAAATCATTCTGCTCGACATCTTTGATCAACAACTTTGTTCTGTCATGATGGTCTTTCTCATCAGCTTTGATTACAAATTTGTCATTTTCGTGGATTTGATTTCCATTTTTGAACCATTTGACTGATGTTGCTGCTGGTGAAGCTTTGTATGTGCAGAAGATTTCAACGTCATTACCAATATCTGCATTGAAAAAGTTGTGATGAGGTCTGAAGAATGGTGCAACTGAAAATGCAATAAATTTGATTAAGATTAGTTCTTAGTTGCATATAAAGCCCCAAAATAAAGTATAGGATCAATCACATGCTGAACTTCCTCTTTCTAAGTCAATATCCCAAACTTACATTGAACATCAATGCTGAACTTAGACTTAATAGATCCATACTCATTAGTAGCTTCACATTCATACTCTCCAGCATGTCTAGCATGTAATACGCGAATCTCAAAAATGCTTTCCTCGACGAACTTGATGTCACGATCTTTTGACTCTTGGATTGCGTTTCCATTATGGATCCATGTGATCTTAGCTTCAGGTTGTGCATTTGGTACGGTACATTTAAATCTAAGATCTTTCTCGCTTGCCTTATAGAACAATTTTTTTCCACCAACAAATGAGTTATCACGGTTATGTCCAATTTTGATCATCTTTGGTGGACCATTAACAATAAGTTTAACATTTGTCTCGAACCGCTCACTTTTGTGGAATGCTCTACATTTATAGATGGCATTGTCATACATATCAACACCTTCAATTGTCAATGAGCCGTCCTTCTTTGAGAATTTAATTCTTTTGTCAGTTATTTGAAATGCTTGACCTTGTGCAATGATTCTTGTGCCATTGTACCACAAAAATATCGCATTCTCATCAAATTCTCCTTTACATTCCATCCTTACATTCTTTCCGGTGTCAATAATTTCTGTATAGTTTTCTGTTTTATAGATCTCATTTGTTTCAGTCGTTGATGATATTTTCCTATCCTTATCATCATCCTTCTCATCATAGCTTTCGTCATAGTTGTCTTGGTCATCTTGTAGATATTCTGACTCATCATTATCTGCTTCCGCTGGCGCACAATCTGCTGTAAATAGAAACAAATAAAAATTAGTCAAATTTATTCAGGCCATAAATTTTACAATTTGACAAATTAATGCAAACAAGAAAAGTCGTTTTAAAAAATTGGCATTCAGAGTGGATATGACGCTATTTTGGATAGGAAGCTATGAAGTTTGATAGGATAAAATTATTAATTAATTTTGATTGCCCTGCAACTGTTAATGATTAATGCTTCCTATACCTTAATTTAAGTGTGCCATAACCTACAAAAATAATCGCGAATATGAGCATCAATAACAATCCCAACTTGTCATTATCATGACGACACATTTATGGCAATTTTTTAACAAAATTCTTCACATTCATCCAATAAATCATGCAATGAATTTGAAAATGACACAAGAGTTGACAAACAGTAATGATTCCGAATAGGGAGCAAAAATACATAAAATGCCGCTCACACATTTTTAATTAATTACAGCTCTCGGTCGTAAAAGAATTTGTCAATTTTTATTTTCATGTTTTTTTCGGTCGGTTCATAAATGGATATAAAAATTTTAGAGAAAGACATTAAGACCTCTGTGTCGGGTGTTAATCTAAATGATCCAATTTCCACCAAATGGATGAATTGAGACTCTATAAAGTATGTTATAATTGCATTAGGACCGTAAATGGTATAAAACTTTTAACTTTTAATAAGCTTAAAATATAATAAAGTCAGAATGAAAGTAAATGAGCCATGGACCATCGGAAAGAACATAAAGGAAAAATTCTGTTTGAGTTAAAATTATTTTTTACAATTAGTTCAGTTGGGTGACTTTTGGAACTGTTGATATGATTCAGATTCAGTCAGTTTGTCTAGTTCCAACACTTTTTAAAGCGTTACTCAATTTTCATCAAAAACCAAAATTTTTCACGGGTCAAAACCATTCACAGCACTTAATGTCGACTACAAATGTGTAAATTTGTACACACCAGAATCCTGACTGCGCACCACACTACAAATTATTCCTACTCAAAAAAATTATTCATTCCTAACATTTTTTCAGTTTAATTCTGTTCAGTCTTGTGCAATCGTAATTTCAACAACTGTGACTCTACACAATTCACAACTGCAATGAGCAACATAAAAGCATAGAAAGATAGAAAAAGGAAATAGAAGGAACGCAGGTGTCTAAAAATTGAGCACAAGTCACATTAAATGTTCATTAGCCAGTACATTGCAGCATACGGCGTAAGGTAAAAAGGGAAGGAAAAAATTGTTATGATTTTATGGTTGCTTAATTTTTTACAAAGCCCAATGGTCATTTACATACAGGCACAACATGAATGTGTGGATGGAAAGAGGAGGGGGAACACAACATGATGAGGAAAAAGTTTATGGCCAAATTTTTATTATTTTTCACAATGCAAATCAAACTTTTGGCAAGAACTAGTTTGAAATTTGTGAAGGGAGAACCCATCATGTTGTTCTCCCCCCAAGGAAAATATTGATGTGTCTCTTTATTCAACATAAAACAGCATTATGGCTAATTTTGACACATATCTCATCATTCTGGACTCTAGATTTTCTTATCAAAACGTTTCCCCATCACATTGTTATCCCCTTGAAAAAGATAGCAACTTATGTGTGATATAAAATAAAATTCTTTCCTTGTTCCTCAAAAATGCATTTTTCATTTTCGTCTCGTTTCGCTGAACTTAATATCTTCATCATTATTAATTCAACCACATAATATTAAATAGAAACAGATATTTATTATGCATGTATGTGTATAGCTAGATAAAGAAATTAATATTTTAATTAAATTCTTTCTCCCAATTGTACCTAATTCCAACTTATTAATGTTGAAAAGTCAAATTTGTAAGTTCTTTCATTTCTTTTTTGTGAGAATTTCTTTTCGTTCCGTTGTAATCCGCTTAAAAAATATTTCATAGATTGTGTTAACAAGAGAATAGGGAACCTTATAAGCTAGTATGAAGTGCAAAGTCATTGCCATTTAACATTTTTTTCTCGTTCATCTATTTCTATTTCTTGATGCTCTCTTCATTGTCACTTTATTGAAGGGTTTTGTTATATAATTTTCAGTCATTTGTCTGGATGTCAAAGAAATATTTGGAAAATTATAGATTGACTATAATTGGAGGTTGTAAATGGATAGAGTCATCCATATCTTTGGGTATAATTGAGCCTTGATTTTGGTACTTAATGGGATCGGTGTGAGATTGAGATACAATTTTGAGTTATACATTCTAGAAAAATGCATGCATTCCTATAGATATGGCTTGTGGGCATGTTTTAAGTATGTAGATTGACCTTAGTAGATCGACTGCATTTGGATGACTAATAGCCAAAACTTTTGAAGGTATTTTATAGATGAATTAAATATAAATACAGAGGACAAGTTCAATTCCTATCGATCTAAGTCGAATACTAATTGTTCGAATCCCATTAAAACTGTAGGTTCAGGATTTAATATTCAGTCAATAGCTATTAGAACATTCAACAAAAATGACTGCCATAAAGCTAGTTTTTATCAATATTTCTTTGTGATTTATGGACTTATTCCTCATATTTTATTCCACAACTAATTAAAATAAATCAAAAGCCTTTCCCTTTTCTTCTTCCAATTTATTCATATCCATTTCTCCTCATCATCATTCTCGATAATAAAATGAGAGAAATAAGAATTGAGATTGTTTTCATTGATCAATAACAATAATAATAATCGAATATGATCGGATAATGAAAGAAAGGCAGGCATACATTGCATGGGCGAGCACGATATGCAGTAAATGCTTATTAATCCATCTTTAATGAGTTTTCATGTGTGAACAAAAAAAAATCCACAATTCATTCACATTTTCAGTACCAACTGTTTGCTAAGAGCATCAATGTTGCGTTCAAAGAAATTCTCAACGCAGCGGAATCTTAAAACGAAAATCTAAGATAATATCATGAACAATGCTGTACTTAAGAGTTCAAACAGCATTTTGCCTACTTGGCAGTGCAATAAAATAACAAAAATTAAATCTCAATTTCAGTTTCTTTCTCGTATGATGATATCAATGACTGATTATTATTCTACAGCTCATCTCATTGTATTTCCTTCTCCTTCCTCTTTTTAATTTATTGTGGATCAGCAGAAGCATCTTAAATATCTCCACGAATTTCAAATGAAGATTTTTTTAATTCAAATTTCAAAATAGCCTTTAGCTATGATTTAAGTGAGACTATAGTCCATCTTTTTTTGATGATTCATGATAATTGTGTTCGTTGTATGCAATAATGTTGAAAATTGAGATTCTTGAACTTTTGATTTCCATAAAAAAAAGAGGTTGAAGATTAAGAATTGAGAATCTCGGAACTGCTGCTTGGAACTTGTATTAAAGATTTTAATGTTGTTTTGACTGAACAAATTCTGGTAAAGTATTTAAATAATAAGTAGTCATCTGGATGTTTGAATAATAATGCAGCTATAAAATTCCAATAAACTTCAATATTTTGCATATTTCACAATATTCATTCAGTCTATCCAAAGCAAAACACACATGTCACATACTAAGTTCGATTTCCATTAAGAATTCTCAATCAATTCATTTAGGAAAATTGAAAACTTTAAACATTCTTTAGCGTCTCATTCTCAACTCTACATGTTCATATTTTTAAATTAAATAAAATCAATAAACAGGCAGAAAAACAGCAAACTTCATGCTCACGGTCTAATTTTAATTTTACTTGATTATGCGTGAAAAATTTAACGCAAATTAATTTTTTTAAGTTAAATTGAAATGAAATCGATACATGGAAGTAAAAGAAGCATCCAACAAACATGATTAATGAATTCAAAAAATATTTCTGAATGAAATGAGAAAGAGACGAAGGTGAAGGATATTGACCGAGAGTAAAATAAAGTCATGTGAATAATGAAACTAAGCATAGATTTAAAAGCTAAAAATGATATTTTCTAGCTATTAAAAATGATATCAAAATATTATTTACCTACAATATAAAAGTTTTCAATGTTAAATCGACAATTTGATGGTTTTTAAAATCCATAAACTGAATTATCTGTTCTGTAATGTAAGGTTTATGAGTTTATGGAGACATAAAGTGGTTTAAACTGTGAATAATGTGATATTGGATGAAGTTATGGTTTCTTGTAAGTTGAAACTGTTGAAATTTTGGATTTTTAAAGTTTAAACTTTAGTTTTTTGAACCGATTAGGTTTTCACAAGCTAATGATTTAAGCTTTAACTAATTCAACACAGAAGTAATTAAATAACAACAACTATAAATAAAATACCTTAAATTCATACCCAAAAACAATGAAAAACTCAATTTGCATCTCAAAAGAAAAATTAGAAAACATAAATTAACAAGTTTTATGGCAAAAAATCCCACAATTCCTTATCGTTTCTATTTTGACATGACAAATGTTTTAATACTTTACTTGACAAATTACAAACATCCGCAAAAAAATTTGCATACTCAACTGTTGCGCAACATTAACACAACAACAGTTTCGCAACTAATTTTTTCAATTTGCATTTTTGAAATTTTTTATGACGAATGTCCGTAGACCATAATCAAAGAAGGTTCTTTAACCTGTTCACACAAAAAGTAACAGAATACAATCCCAAAAGTCTAAATTATACATTCTCATTCCATCAAAAATAGTGAGTTATTGTGCTACATTTAATGCACTTATCATGTAATTCAACGATCAATTCAACTCCAAATTGTAATACAATACGAACTCAATTCTCCTTCTCTATTTTCGGTTGAAGTACCATTATGATCCATACTCGAATTTTTTTTTTCTTTATTTATTTATTTTCACTTATTCGTACTTTGAAGTATACTGGATATATAACCGTAAAAAAATAGATGTTTATAGCATGTGCCATAAAAAGGTGATTATAAAAATAATAAAATAAAAATTCATAATCAAAAAACCAAAGAAGAAGAAAAAAACTTATTTTAATGATCTAAACAAAAATAATAAAATACAAAAAAGCTGG